ATAGATAGATAGATAGATAGATAGATAGATAGATAGATAGATAGATAGATAGATAGATAAGTAGGCAGGCAGGCAGGCAGCAGCAGACAGCAGAGACAGAAATACAATACAGAGATAGTATATATGTGACAAATCTAAGAGCAGCTCATGTTAAAACCAAATTATTAAATGCCAATCCCACATCATCACAAAACCAAGTAAAAGCATTTAATAATCATTAAATAAAAAGACTGTTTATCAGATATAAGTGAATTAGGAGGCTAGTAGATTTTTTTTCCAGCCAAAAATTTTATGAAAAGTTAGAAGTTTCTGCGAGCTGCGGATCACTGATAGCCATGATAACTGACTGATGACCAGATTTGGTCTTTGGGGGGAAAAAATCAGAAAGGCATCCTTTCAATTTTTTTAATTTTTTTTTTGTTGCTATCATAGAGTAACAAGGTTCTACTCCTACAGCAACTTAGTATACTGACTCTGGCAGACAGCAGCTAAAGTATTGACAAATCATGTGAACCAGTTCTGACAGAGATCAGGATCTAAATGATGTTATATAAGCAAGGCAAGAGACTCAAAGAAAATTTGCCCTTCATTATTCTTTTCTCCTTCTAAATAATCTGAATTTGTTGCAAATGCCTTTTTCTCAATAAGAAATACCAATGGCTTTTTCTGAAACAAGGACTTCTTGGTATATCTGCAGTTGTATCTGCCTTCACTTAAAAGAAATGTTTATAGTCACTCACATACAAAGGAGCTTGCTGTTTTGGGTGGCAATGGAGTTCAGTCAACTGAGTTTCATGGGGATGTGAGCAAGCCTGTAATTCCAGCTGATGTAATCTTTGGAACAGCTCTTTGATGAAACCAATTGCTTAAGAAAACAAGAAAGAGCATGGTGCTAACACAGTTCTTTCAAACCAATTTTGCACAGGGGATGATTAGGTTTTAATTGCTCTGGAAACTGTCACAAGAAGGAAACATGTTAATGAAAATATTTATGAAATGAATGAAGTGATTTTTTTAAAAAACACATTCACTGTCAATTTTCTTTTTCGGTATCAAGGTAATTCGCACCATGTCCTTCAACTCTGACAGTTATGCATTAAAGTACAGTAGTTCAAGGCATGCTTTTTATAGTTCATAATTTCATTTCCTTAAATACAGTTTCAGCAGCATAGCTACAAAACTGTTATCGCTTCTGTTTCAAATAAAGAGATTTCACTGCTTCTCATCTGCATGATTTGGATTCCCATTATGTCCCTAACTATCTGAACATTGGGAGGAAGCAGACTTTTTTTGGCATATTCTTGGCAGCCACTGCGACCAAAGGTCTTGTCATGGCTAATCATAATATTATCAGTCTGGCACCATAACTCCCTTCACGGCTTATGTCTTTTCCTGTTATAATGACTGCTGTATGGTATTGCTGATATGTCTTGCATGTTAGGGACTGCACTTACTTTATTCATCCATACAGGGCTGCTCAGAAAATGCTTTTAAGATGTTTTGTTTCTATGGTTACAATATCTAGTACTGCTATACAGTTCAATGCAGATTATTTTTCCCCAAATCCCTGAAAATCTATGGAAGTAAATGCCTATAGAAGTTAATAGTACTGGATCAAAGCCAGTTTTTCTGAACATTTTCATAAGGATTGATTAGAAAGGGAGAGAGTGCTTTCAGGTTGTGCCTTGAAACACAATTGTGACATGTTCAGTTCTTTGAAGATCCTACTCACAAACTTCTTGATCTAAGTGGAAAAATAACAGTGGCCATTAAAAAATTTGAAGTAAGATCTTTTTAAAAAAATTGTATTGTGGTAGTTTCTGTACATACAGTACAAACCTTTCAATCTTAACAATAAAACATAAGCGCAGTCCCTATCGCACTTTCCAAGACAGATTTTCAAAGGATTCCACAGCATTAGTAAGATATAGAAGCAAAACTTTGTCATTAAGATAAACAATTGGCACAACCAATACAAATGGAGTCACATTAAAATAATAATTCTCAAACCTAACATCCAAACCCACAAATTAGATATGGTTGGGCAATATCCCAGAGACACCTCTACAGTCATTAAACATCATTAAAAGAAATAAAAGTCTACCAGAAAATTACCATTGATTTTTAATCCTGCAATGTCTGTGTATCAATAGACACTGGATGGGTAAAGAAACAGTTGTGCAAGTGAGATTTGGTTTAGTTCCTTTTGCTCTATTGATTTTACATGAATTAATTTTATTTATGTATAAGCAATTGGGTTCTACACCAATTATTTCTATTTTCCCTTTTCTTTTATATCTTTTGAATTGCCAAATTGTTCAAAGAATTTATGATACAAATAATTACCCAAGTTTTATTCACACGTTACTATTCACAAGTTTTATTTACTTGCAATACGATTTAATTGTTCTGAAGGTTATGAAGAAAAGAATCCTATTCAATTATACTCAGTGTAATTTAAGGCAGTCTTATATGTAGTCCTAATATAATTCCTACTGAATTAATGCAACTTGCTTCTACAGAAACATATGGGATGGGAGTGAATCCAAATATTTGTTGGATTGTTTCCTTTGTACTGATACTTAAGAATTTCCAACTGACACACATATACATATATATTAGTATTTACATTTCCTCTTTGTAATGTATGAATGTATAACATGCAGCTGTTATAAGTATAAATCTCCAAATAGTAGGATTCTTGGTATTCTGTCTGGCTCTCCCTACTGTTATCTCTCATCCTATTCCTTACTAGGAAGATTTTAATGGGGTTACCATATATGAATTGTGCCTAAGGAAGTGAGGCTCTCTATAGAGAGAATTGGCTATGGACTATAATAGCTTGCTAGATCAGGGGTCACCAACCTTTTGGACCTCAGGAACAACCAAACTCATAATTTTAAATCCCGTGGACCACTAATATGAATCCAGCATGCTGTTCGCTGGACTCCCACTGACAGGATGGGGTCCTTCAGGCACTTAGTTTGGCTGCCTGTTTCTGCAACCTTAAATACTCAAAGACTCATTTGGACCCACAGAAAACAAAACACCGGGATCTCTCATATCTCTCTCTCATCTCTCAGTCTTTCCCTCCCTCCCTCCCTCTCTCTTTCTCCTCTTTCTCTTTCTCTATCTTCCCCCCCTCTATCTGTCCCCAGAGGTGGGGGTTGGGGGAAAGGAACCAAGCCTCCTCTTTCCTGCCGGACGTGTGAGCACTTCTGGTGAGGAGGAAGAGAAGCACGGTGGGAGGAGGCTTGGCAGCTGCCAGAGGGATGATGAGTGCTTTGCAGTCCTGAACAGAAGGGTTGATCCTCCCCATCTGAGGGCATTGCTGGCAAAAACTTCCTGTGGCTCAGGAGGGCCACACTCTTCCCGCTGCTGCTCAGCCTCCACGATACGCGGAAACAGGAGGCAGCAGGCACAACACAGGTTTGCTAGGGAGACTACAGAATTGCCCCACCTCACCGCCAGCCATCTGGTCTTCAGCATGTGGCTTGTTGGCTTCCAGGCATCTGATTTCCACCACCCAGAACCAGTTTAGAGGATCCTTTTCCCCCACCCCCACCCCCTTTCAGGGCTCCAATGCCACGATCTCTCATGCACTCCCCTCCCTCCTCATGCGCATCAGTCCATCCGCTGCCAGTATCGCCGCTGTTGCAGACAGGGGCGCACTGCGGACCACCAAAATATTCTCATGGACCACCAGTGGTCTGCGGCCCACCTGTTGGCGATCACTGTGCTAGATCACTTTTAGATGGCAGGAGGATAGCTACAAGAAATAAACATTTACCTAAGTATATGTCCATAGAGTTGTATAGGTATAACTTAGAGTCAACAAGTAGTTCACTTGTTCCTCAGCTGTGTGCTGCTATACTTCATGCTGCCATCCTGCATTTCTTCGTGTTCCCTTCCTGTTTTATATGAGCTGCGCATTTGTCAAAACTCCAACCAAACTTGCTCTTCCTATTGCTAAACAATACAGTACATAAGTGACAAGTTAATAGCAAATAAGTATTTTGTAAAAGTCATTTCAATGCATTGTATGATGCACGTTTATTATGCTTTGTAGATAAAGCAATGTAGTATTTTAGGAAGCTTTTTAGGAAGATTTAAGTGATTGATCAAGTCACAATCTTTTGATTGAAGATTTTATTTCAAGTGTCCCTCTCAACAAATCTCTATATCAATCACCAGTGTTGATTTTTGTGGCTTAGAATATTGAGCA